AAAAAAAAAAATCTCATATGTTGCACACTTAAGTAATGACACTGTATACATTTCGGTTTTGTGATACGCTTTTGAAGCCAATTAATCTATCTGGAAGACCAAATTTCTCAACAATTTTTTGAACGGCATAGTCTCCTAGCTCCCATTCAGTCTCTGAAGGTAGTCTTCTAGGACGACTCATCAACTAAATTGTTTCCATACAGCCGCGAGACCACTGTAAACCTTTATTGGTTTCTCACGGTATTTTAACTCTTCCGTCTCTCTTTGTCCTGAATCGGTCACTCTTGTTCACAAACACAAATCTCTTTTTCCTGCGCATCAAAGCTCCCATAGTACACCTCCAAGACATGCCATACCCCTTCCAATTCCATATTCTGCGCTTGTTAAAAACTCTATTATCCATATTGCTATAAAATTATATAATCACCTTCCTACAGCTATTATAAATATTCCCGATGTAGCCAAATTCCGTGAAGAACTTAAAAATATCTTTGCAAAGAAAGCCTTCTATTCTGTGGAGAAGTATTTAAACTTTTCATTTTGAATTTTGAATTTCCATAATTTGTTTTTTTATTTATTTATTTTTATATTTCTACTTTAAACTATTAGGTTGTCCTTCTTAGACCAATCCCTTGATCAAAGATGGTTCTATTGCTTCAGTTGCAAAGCCAAACTTAATCGGTAACCGTTCTATGTTGCTAATTATTAGGTTCCTGTTCTTTTGATACTATTTAATATGTTTTTTTTTTACATAGGTATTTTTTATTGTTTTTATTTTTTATTTTATCTAATTGTTTTTATCTTTAATCAAGAAATTAGGAGCCTTACAGCCAGTTTCATAATCAAACTTTAAAAGTTAAATGCTACTTTAAAAAATGTTGGTGTTTCATAATACTTTGATGTCACTTTAAAGCCACTTTAAGTTAAAGGGCTGATTTCCAGACTTTTATCCAACTTTAAAGTGCTATGTAACCTCAAATTCGCACCAAGTCGCTAATTTGCTACTTTCTCAACATTTTGTGTTGTCTGTTTTCGATTTCAATAAACTGTCGACGTTATGAACTGGTACCAAGGAATATCATCTTCACTAAATTCAGATTCATCTGATGAGGAGAATCCGGAAATATTTTTAAGGAGAAGAAAACTTATATAGAAAAAGAGAAAACAGATTCGATGGCTATGATGATGTTGATTTTTTCGACAGATTTCGTTTAACAAAACCCACCTCTTTATTTTTCTTTCAACTATCGGACATATGATTATAATGCCAACAAATAGGTCAAAATTATCATATTTTCAAAGAAAGCAATAATATGTTGTTCAGCAAAGATTTTTCAGAAGTGGAAGTATTTCCCTAATGATCCAGTTTCTTCATACACTAAGCTACTACGCAACAGGAAGTTTCTCAAGTGCAATGGGAGAATTTATGGGGGTGTCAAAAGCTTCAGCATGTCGAATAGTTGAAAGGGTATCAGAAGCAATTGCAACTCTAAGGCCACGGTTCATTAAAATGTATCGAGATAACCAGGAAATAGTAAGAAGTGCTGCTGAGTTCTACCAATTAGCTAGTTTTCCTAGAGTGATTGGAGTGATAGAATCCACGGACCACGTTAATAAGGATAGAATCACCAGGGGATGATACAGAAATATTTACAAGCTTTTTAGGGTTTTTTTGCATTGAAGGTTCGGACAATTTCAGATGCTAATCTGAAAATTTGGAACATTGTCGCTCGCTGGCCAGATTCTACGTATGAACAGACAATATTTAATAATTCACGAGTGAAAAGGGAATTTCATCCAACAAAAGAAGTTCCTTCCTTGTAGAGAAATTATCACCTCTTTTTGATTTATTACTGGACATAGCAAAAACAGGGATGAAAATGAAATAATAAACACTCAATAACACTTTTTTAGTGACTAACCGTTTGTAACCGTGTTAGCCGTGTTATAAACGGTAGGTACCTACCTGAAAATATGATTTATTTTCAGTTACCGTTTATAACACGGGAACAAAAGGTTAGTCGCTAAAAAATCCTTTTGGATCACTTTGATTACCACTTGAAACCACTGAAAAAAAAATGAGACCTAACCTAACCTTAAAAATTGTGGAGTTTTGCTGTTCTATCAATTTTCGGCAGTGGCTAAAGTCTCGATTTTACTTTAGTTAAAAGTTCGGATGGATATGATTATGAAACACCCCAACTTTAGCTCTCTTTAAAGTGGACTTGAAGTGAAACTTTATCTTTAGTTAAAGTCGAGGTTAAAGTACATTTTAAAGTCTGATTATTAAACTAGCTGTTAGTATTTGGAATAGGCAAAAATTGAAAGTTACAAATGAGTAATAATAACGAAATATTAGTCCTGAGGACGTCTGAAAGGCGTTAGGTTTTGTAACATACACGGCTTCACGATGTCTTTAAGATGCCTTGAAGACGTCTAAAAGACGTCTTGAATGCCGTTTGTGGACATCTTTAATGTTTCTGTGCTGTCTGGAAAATAATAGGTCTTTTTCGAAAAATAGCCAATTTTAAATAAAATTTATTCCACAAAATCTATTGTCCCCCGTAATGTTTGCTACATATGGGGAAATTTTTTATTTGTAGGATAGGGAATTTTTTTCTTATGTGCGATTAATCCTGCATGTCAGACAACCTTAATAGTTATTTATGTATCAAGGGTACTAAGTAGATGATTATGCCCTGAGGGCGACAGTCTTACAAAGCCGAGGGCCTCTGGCCCGAGGGTTCGTAAGTCGCCCGAGGGTATATATATCTATTAGTACCCGTGGTGCATACAAACTTTTATGTCATACCAGTTGGTTGTGAATAATAAATACCTGGGAAAAAAGTGTCACTTGGCAAATTGTCATCAGTGTGCAGAATCATCATTTTTTGACAAAAATAATATGTTTATAAGCGTAAATTTATATTTTGTTGATAAAGAATAAGTTAATTGAAAACTGTTTTTTGCGTCTTTATGCCCGCGCGGGCCATAATGTGTACTTTATTACGGGCATAAAGTAATGAATTATGTAGATGGTATCTAATAGTCTAGGAGGCAGTGACGATTTTCGGTACTTATTTTCCCAGTCACGAAACATGGATAGAATTGTAGGGTTAATAATTCTAAGCAAAATTCATATATATTTAGGGGGGGGGGGGGGGGTTCCGATGGGTTGAGGCACAAAATGCGTTAGAGCTTACGAATGCACGGCCCTTTTTTTTTCCAGTGATGAAAAAAAATAGCTCTACTTATGAGAAGTATACTGAAGTTACGTAAAAAAATGGTCCGGCTAATCTTTGAGTATGGATAATACGTCTGGCAAGTGAAAAATTGAAGATCCGAAAATCTTCAGCCAGACTAACTTTCCACCATCTGAGATAAGCCAAATTGCTATGTTCATATACTTTATGTTCTATTGTAGTAAATGTGAATATTAATGACTGGGAAAATAAGTATACTTGTATTTTTCAGTGATCTTGCGAACCCATCCGAAAATTTTTGCGAAACTCAAATATTCTTGTTTTATATCACCAAGAGAACAAACTATTTAATATACATCAACTGGGAAAATAAGTGCTAAAAAATTTCACTGCCTCCTGGACTATAAGGTATAAAAAGAAAATAATGTATTGGTGTGACATAAAGTACATTTTGACATCGATCACGTGATCACTGTTGTGTCGGCAAATTCGAAAATTTAGATATGGAAACGCGAAAAGTAGGGTTAGATGGCAAAATATCGGAAAAAGTTATTTAAAAAAAGTGATTAGAACGATATTTTAGGGCTGTTTGCGAAATTTGATGCAAAAGCAACAAAAAATAAGAAATTACCTGTTTTTAGCCATGGATCTCTTATCAAATAATATTATACAGTTTTTATCATTGAAATAGTCCAAGTACCTCGATATTTAATGTGTACAAACAAAAACAAACTTCAATTTTTCATTGGAATAATTCCTAGAGAAATAAATAAAAATATTCGATAAGCACATGAAACTTTTCTGTAGCAATACACTGTATCTTGACAGTTGAGTTTCTAAAACACGTTTTAGAAATTGTTTGAAATATTTAATAAAAAATCTCAATAACGGTTCTTTCCAATTGTTGTATTAACAGGAATAATTTTAATAATTAAAACTGTATGATATAATTTGATAAGAGATCCATGGCGAAAAACAAGTAATTTCCTATTTTTTGTTGTTTTTGCTCCAAATTTCGCAGACAGCCCTAAAACATCGTTCTAATCACTTTTTTCAAATAACTTTTTCCGATATTATGCGATCTAACCCCACTTTTCGGATTTCCATATCTAAATTATCGAATTTGCTGCCACAACAGTAATCACGTGACCAATGTCAAAATGTACTTTCAGATTATCGGACATGCAGGATCGATCGCACATAAGAAAAAAATTCCATATCCAACAAATAAAAAATTTCGAATGTAGCGAACATTATGGAGGACACTGTAGGTATATGTTAATATCTTGAATTATCTTCTATTGCATTAAGTATTAGTTTTAGCAATTATTAATTGCCTTATTATGTAATGGTTCAAAGGTTGAAGGTTGCATTATAATTCTAGGAAACGTGTTTTACATAATATTAAATCTGTTAATTTCTAAAACGTGACTTTTCAAAAACATTCCAAATATCCAAGTTTTGTTGGTGTATAACGCATTATTTTTACACCATTTAAGTCATACATTATCAGAGGTCTCGATTATTTAAATCCTTATTGAAAAAAAAAAAAAAAGAAAACAACATGCATGATACGAACAAACGACTACAAATCAAGGTTTGGCGGGAGTAATTGTTATTGTTACTTTGTGAATAATAATTTTTCTAGAAATAATTGTTTAATGTATACTTAAAACAATTTTCAACCGGCTGATATAAATACACGTAATTTGGCAAATTGGAAGATTAGTCGTTATTGGGTTTTCCGGCGCAAACTACGCAATTAACAGTATTCAGATTTCTTCTTCTCATTGAAAAATGTTGCTAAACAATGTGTTTGTGATTTTGGTATTAACGTTTGTTTCAAAAAGTGTTCTGGGGAAACCTGCCAGCGCCAGGGATAAAAGTAATAAACACTTTTAAGTTTTTATGTACCAAATAGTAATTTTCAGGTTCTTCGGCCATTTGCTACGACCTAAATTGTCCAGACAGTACAAAAGTATGTGGCAAAAGATCTGAAACATCATCCACAGACAAAACTAAGCTGAATGTTCAAATACAATGTTTGGATAGTCTTCGTAAGTGATTGAATAGGAATTATTAGAAAAAGTAAATCATTTTATTTACTTAGAAAATATAATTTTGTCCAAAAACACCACAGAAGACAACCCATTCAGTCCAGGTGTTTACTATAAAGGTTCCAAACTGTCCTCAGTAATAAAATCAGATTCATTGTTTTTGGACTTTTCCGTTACTAACACCGATGACGATGATGATCAAGAAATCCATTTATTCCCAGTTTATTTGACTCATGATAGTGATGATTATCCAAGTAGACCTAAAACAGGGCCTAAGAGTGAGGTTGAAGATTTGAATAACCGATGAGAGCTGTTTGCATGAGCGCCTTCCTTTATGTATTAGTCATTCGATTTTATTAAATGTGATATTTGTATACTTATTTACTTATTATTTTATTTTTGATTCAACTACAATAAAATCTAATGGTTTGTTTGTACCTAACTGAAACTTTTTTATTGGTTCATACTAAGAGTCATGGTTTGTTTAGGCTAAATTAATATAAAACGCAGTTACTGCAGTGCCATGTTCTTTTTACCCCAGGGAGCAATCACAATACTTCCTTTGGATTACCTTACCTCAGGGCCTCAGGGTCAGGACTCTCTTGGCATTAATTTTCCGGATTTGGCAATGTGTCGCTACCAGTTGACGCCCCGAGTATTAAGTCGTCTCCCCCCAGGTATCATGAAGCTTGGTGTTTTATATACAGGGTGATTCACTACTTATCCGGGATACTTCAATAGTTTTAAATAAGAGGTCGTTTGAATAAAAAAACTGTATGGAATACCTCCATGAAATGAAATTGTTAAGGTTCATATATCATAGATACCATTTATAAAAGTGGTCCCAGACCTGAGAAAAACATCACAATATTTAAGAGGCATTTCTGCATCAAATTGTTATCTATTGGTTGATATTCCAAACAAACGACGGACGCAATAATTTTGTTGTTCAAAGTAATTTGCAAAATGTTTTAGAAAAACATACTTAATCAATGTTTTGGATATGACCTTTAATCTTTTCATTTGAAAAAATGCAAATCTACATCACTTATAATCTCTTGTTAGTAGAAGATTATAGCTATACAAATTTGCTTGAATAATGTCTAAACTTTTGGTTCTAATAGTTGCTGGTTTTTCGCTTTTAATGCCCCAAAATTCAGGTAGGCATCAAGAAATAATATTATTTTGATTATCAATTTTTCATAGCAATCTTTTTCTAGCTTCTCTTTACTGCTTCAACCAACCTTGTCCAACAAATGCAGTGAGTTGCGATAGAGATTTTGTATTTGTTAATGCCTCTAGTGCCCAAGTGAATATTTTTTGTTTGGATGACCATAGTGAGACTCTTTCAGTTAAATCAAATATCCGCATTATGGAAATTTGTTATTGTTTTTTAGGAGAAGTGTTGAAAACGTTTACTCTATATAAATCTATAAAACTTTACAAAACAACAGCCCATGAATATATCGAGGATTTTGCGAATGAAGACTGAAGACTCATACAGAAGTATTTGTAAATTTTTTTAACATCCAGTGATATATTATCTACAGACTAAGCATATCAGTTTTTCCTTCTATTTCGCTAGAAGTTACTTAAATATTTCATCGCCTGATATAACTATTGAAAGGTCATTATTTTAGGCATTTAATAGTCAAATCAAATATTAATTTTCTAATTTTAATACTGCTACAGGGTGATCCTCTTAGAAAATTTGCGATTAAAATAGACTTATCTTAAGCCAGAATTTATGGAAATTGCCTTCATGATCTATATAATAATTATTATTGTCGTTCCAGTATAAATAATAAAAGGTTTTATCTTTTTTTTCTTGGAAATCAGCGATGTTGCAACTATCAACAACAATATTTTATCAAATAAATGAGCCAAATTCCAGAACACCAAGAAAAGATAAAGATATTTGCTAATAATAAATAACGAGTCCCACATAAAACTCGGTCGACGATAAAAGTGCAGTTATTAATTTGCTTTTAGTGCGTTTTTTATTGATTCTTCAGAATGAGCAAGGTGTCCGTCATATTCGCTTTAATGGTGATTTTAGTGGCGTTTGTTGGCGACTCATGCCAATACGGTAAGTAAAAAATAAAATCTTGCCCAATTTCGGAGAATAAAAGGATTTTTTATACAAAGTTTCTGCACCAACATGTTTCGGTCAACCTTGTCCGGCTAGTACAACAAGTTGCAAAGAACATAGGCAGTCCAGTCAAGATCGAACACGTATTGAAGTCCAGATTACTTGTTTGGACGAATTTGGTGAGTTTAGTTATCACTTTGAAAATATCATTAAATGTATCTTCTTGGATGGATTTTTTTATACGAAATGAAACAATTCACATATTTTTTTATTTCTTTTCCAGATGCAAGTGTTAAAGATTACCATTTTGAAGAGCCAAGCCATATGGATCGATACACATTCTACAAAAATACCAAATACGAATCCATCAATGAGGGAATTTCTCATGCGGATCCGTACAAAAATAGGCCTCTGGATTTGACTCCATATGATCAACAACCTGAGTACTTTTAATCTTTTTGAGGCATATTATGCTTAAGTATTTATCTTATTGTGAAAAATACATTATATTCGAGTTTTATTATCTTTTTCCATTAAGTATCCATTTGTACAGGGTCATCCAACGAGGACTGAATAGGAGAGTTCAGAACTCGGAATAATTTCGCGTTGACAACTCGCAATTAGTGTAGAATTCTATTGGTCGGGGAATAACTCCCAAGTAGCACATAATATGGGGTAAACATCGTTTTTCAGTTGGGTCAATATTTATTAATTTTTTTTGTAAATCAACACAGTACCAATATTGGGGCAACGTTAGTTTTAACTATGTGGAAACAATATTTAAAAATAATCTTGTACCAATATTGTTTTCATAGATTAATTAACTTTTCAGTAATTTGAATATTGGCCCAAGACTTCTCACTACAATCTTGATTTATGAAATATTGGCCAAATATTACATTGTATATTATCGAAACAATATTGTAATATAATATTAATTCAATATTGGCATTCAATTTTTTATTGATATTTGAACTCACTTCAAAAACTTTGTACACCCAATATTTATTTTCAATTTTTTCACAATATTGATACTTTTTGAAAAGCCCAATGAAGGGCCAATGTTTACATACTAATTTTTACCCAAGGTTAGATTTTCTGAATTGAAAATGTTGGTCCAATATAGGGTAGGTATTCAATGTGCGCACTTGGTGTGCCGACCAAAAAATTGATGGAGACTCTGTCTTCACTTTACCTGTCTTAAACCTGGTTTCGGGATGAAGCCAAAAATTGGTTGTTTTCTCTCTGAGGGACCCTGGCGGGACTTAACCGTGCTGATGAGTTGTGATACAGCGAAACGGGTCCACGGATGGTCCGGCAGAGAGAAAACACTTCTAAAGCCCGGGACACATCTATTATGCAATCTTCCGATCCGACTCCAATCATACAATCAGGGTCCTTATTCTTGGAACAGGGAACAGCGTTTCCAAGGAGAACGAGTGTTCCGCTGCTCTCCTGTTCCAAGAATAAGGACCTTGATTGTATGATCGGAGTCGGATCGGAAGAATGCATGATAGATGTGTCCCTGGCTTTAGTCGGTCCTTATAATTGGTCCGTTACCTTAATTAAATATAATATAAAGCCAAGATTTACATACGTCTTCGGGCCAATATTGGTAATTTCAATTGGCTCTATATTGCATAAAGTTCTTGATATGATATTGATTATTTCTTTTTGGGCCAACATTTGGTTACGTTATTGTACCAACGTTGGTATTTGTTTTTGGGTATATATTGACATACGTTCTTGGACAAATATTGCAGAATGTCCACATCTTTTATTGGGCCAACATAGAGAATCTGACTTGGGCCAATAAATCGTAGTTCTTGTCCCAATATTGGCCCAACATGGGAGTGCTGCTTGGGCTGGCCGACCAATGGGATTACAGATTTCGTTTTCATCTGTAGGATTGCATATTTAACAGTTTATCAGAAAGTGAATAAACCGGCCTTTAGTTAGTTTTCGCCTCTTGGCTTGTTTTCTTGTTGCCATAGGATTAGAATGATACGGACACGGCCATGGAACGGGTAACATATGCAAAGTCTACTGAAAATCCTGGAGTAATTTTATTTATTTTTTCAAATGAACCAGTTTTGCCAGCTGGCAACCACATAATTTTTTCTGAAAAACCATCAATGCATCCACTGATAAATATTCCAAAAGGTTTTAATTTGTCATAACAGTCGGTGTGCCATAGAAAATTTGGGCCTTTATTCTGGTATTGTCTACGGCGAAGTCATCGTCTACTACGAGTATCAACTCCAATGGGATCAATTATACATATGCAAAAAAGGCGCCCTACATCCTGGGTCACAGTTTTATTATTTTGCAAACATCTCAAATGCATCCATCTATATCCATAAAGCTGGCCATGATTTCAAATGTTCTCTTCAATAAATTTATAAACATCAACAATATTGGTCAAATGTTTTCTTCTGAATAAATGTAAGCCGTCTTTTGAGAGTTCGTCTGCTAATTAAGTTTCCACTTCAGTAAACTTTGTTTTTAAAAAACATTTATTTTCAAAACTAAATATTACAAATGAAAACTTTAAACTTAATCTAAATGAGACAAATTACTGCGAGGAAATCTCGAGAGTAAATAAATGAACAACAGGTAGTAGCTGCAAGCGTATTTTATAATAAAATAAATGCTAGCATAAGCGAGATAGTTATTATTGTTTTGGGAGAACAAAAGGGTCTTTATTGAGTTACAATATAATTCCTCCCTCCTCAGGCGGTTGCAAATTGGGGTTGATGTACCAAGTTAGGCAACTCAATTTGAACCTCACATTTTTCCTAAATTTATGTTTAAAATAAAAAATGGTTATAATAATTATAAAAATAACGATTAAAATAATAATTACCTACATATGTGGATATATATAGTTATTTACAAAGGTTAACTCTCTTAAGGGTCGAACTTCAAGTTGTGAAGCTTCTTGTAGAGCTTCTTGAAGGGCTTCATGGTCTACTGTTTTCAGTTTGACCGTCGTGATGTTTTCAGGAAAAATAGGAATGTCTATTTTCGGTATCTTGAGTTCCAAATTGAAGTTTTCTTTAATGTCTTCGGAAAATGTGTGATTATTGAGAGTCACTGAACATTTTTCTTCTGGAGATTAGAGTAGGACTGGCAATTATCTCGATGTACTTCTTTTGATTGTACTCCATAACTGCTGTCAAACTTCTTTTGGGAATGAACAAGAACTGATTGTTAGGTAGTTGTTGAATTGTCGGTTCTTCATAGTCGATTTTCAAGAAAGGGCGTGTTTGTTGTTCACTATTAATGATGCTGTGAACACAGGGCTCATTTTGGGTTAATGTCTCAAAATTGCATAAGTATACGCCTTCGACATTAGGGCACTCATTTAAAGCATTAAAATATGTGTTTGTTGTAAGTAACAAATAGGGATGCTTAATATTAATGGTATAATTCTGGATAGGAATAGGATAGAGTTTATACATCAAAAAACGATTTGGATTTATTTTTGGTGTATAGATTGTAAATATAATCAATTCCTTTTGAATGCTCATTGTTGTCGACATTGTTTCGTAATACTTTATTACATTGTCAAATGGGATTTGCTGATTCTTGGGTATGTTTTTAAGAATCAGGTTGAGTTCATTGTGCTGCAATATAGTATAATGCATAATGCGAATGCCTGATTGTGCAAAGTTGATAGCGAGTTGTATATGATTTATCAGATCTCGTATCTTGCTACTATGCATATTAATGTTATAAAGTATCAGGTTCAAAGTTATAATCGTCTGAAGATTCTGATTATTCGCAGAAATATTTTTAATTCTCTGAGAAATAATAACGTGATTGTTTTCTATGTTCATAAATTGGTCATGAAAGGTCTTTGTTACTTGTTTAAGAATTTGTGCTCGATCTTTCAAATTTTCATTGATTGTCTGTTGTCCAGTGGCGGTTCCTCCATAAGAGCACATGTGCACGTGCACTCCCAAATTAATAGGCCTGTTCGCACAGAAATCACCAACCAGTCAGAGCGAATTTCATTGGTTGAAACTAGTTTTCTGACTGTTTCTGACTGTTTCCAACCAATGAAATTCGCTCTGACTGGTTTGTGATTGCTGTGCGAACAGGCCTATTATCAAACAACTTTAAATTTAATTTTATCATTCTTCAAATTTTAACATTCTACCTGTAAAGTATTAATTTAAAAAATTAGTGGCCAAATGCGCCAGCAAAATAAACGCAACCGGCAACGCTGGAATCACAGCGTCCACCGCGTCGCCTGAACGCCCCGTTCACTGCACATTTCAATATTAAATCCAATTGGTGGAACTATGCCCCCCCGCACTCTTTGTTCCCCGCGAAGGTCTAGCGACGTTCGATGTTTTAAGCTGGCTGGTGTGCACATGTAGTCAGTGCACTTTGGGATCGGAAGCGCTTGTTTTATATTTATTTCGATTTCGAGCGCGATTTAACTGAAAACTGTGTGTAGAATGGCGGGATTTCTGAACCCCGATAGCCTTAGCGTGCAATATTTAAAAACAATTAAATTTTCTTCGCTTTCTTTGGAGGAAAAAATCCAAATCAAATGTGTCGGCCGTCCAAAGCCAAATTTAATAATCACCAACATAACAAAATGCAAAAGTCGTGATTATAAACGAACTTTTAAAATGGAAACTTACGAAAAAACTGACTGGTTGTGCGGTTGTGATGTTAGTAATAGTCTTTACTGTTTTCCCTGTTTGTTATTTGGAAGCGATGAAGCATCAGAATGGACAAAATCCGGCGTTAAAGATTTAGTACATTTATCCGAAAAAATTAAAAAACATCAAAACTCAAAATCGACAAAATCACATCTTACTCTTATATCTTTCAATACAAAACGTGTCTGTGAGATTGAAAACTATAATACATTTATGTATAAAAACAATTGTTAGACCAGGACGATGTACTCAGTGAGGTAAGTTACTTTGTTACTTAATTTCTAGTTTATTGATATAAGATCCTTCAATTTCCACGATTTGATAGACCGAAAAAAGTATTAAATTGAGCTTAGTTGGTTGTTTGGTAGGGTAGATATGAAATCCCTTAACAATATTTTTAATTATTGGTAGGTAAACACATCATATAACTCATACGATCACTTACAATAAATTATTTTTTTAAAGGCCTAAAATAAACACTTCTGGGCGTGGCGTGGCACCCCAGAAAATTTCGCGCCTCCGGCGGGCATCCCCCTTTCGGCATTTATTATGAATTACAAATTATGTGCACCCCCAATATGTTATACCACGAGCCGCCACTGTCTGTTGATTTTCATTCAACATTTGAATATATGAGTCATATCTAGCACCGTTTTCGGCGTCAAGTCTTCCGTACAGCCATTTCTGTGCTGTTCCCACAAAATTCAAGATTCCGCGCTTACTTCGTTTTCGCGAGGTAGATTGCTTTGGGAATTTCTTTATTGTTTCAATTCG